GGAAGAATACTTCCTTGGAGATTCAGGCCGCATTGGAGAAGCAAGAGGCAGAGGTGGCAATGCGGAAGAAGGTTGTGCTCGAGGATTTGGCAAAGGCTGAGCCTGCGGTCGAGGAGGCCAAGGCCAGTGTCAGCAACATTAAGCGACAGCACTTGGTCGAAGTGCGTGGTATGTCTAATCCTCCACAGAGTGTCCGACTTGCACTGGATGCCGTGTGCACTCTGCTTGGACACAAGATCAACGACTGGAAGGCGGTCCAAGGTGTGGTTCGAAGGGAAGACTTTATTGCTAGCATCATCATGTTTGACAATGCCAAGATGATGACCAAGGGTCTACGGAACAGAATGCGCAACGACTTCTTGTCGAACCCCGAGTTTACTTTTGAAAAGGTGAACCACGCTTCCAGGGCTTGTGGTCCCCTTGTCCAGTGGGTCATTGCCCAGGTCAGCTATTCAGATATCTTGGACCGTGTCGGACCTCTCAGAGAGGAAGTTGATCAGCTTGAGGAGCAGGCGCTCGAGACAAAGGCTAGCGCGATGGCGGTCGAGAAGAACATTGCGGAGCTCGAGTCTAGCATCAACACTTACAAGACGGAGTATGCCACTCTCATCAGCGAAACCCAGGCTATCAAGGCGGAGATGTCAAAGGTTCAGTTCAAGGTCGACCGAAGTGTCAGGCTTCTTGACAGCTTGTCGTCTGAGAGGGCTCGTTGGGAGGAAGGAAGCAAGTCTTTCGAGACCCAGATCAGCACCCTTGTTGGTGATGTTCTCGTTGCTTCTGCCTTTTTGGCTTATTCCGGTCTTTACGATCAGACGTTCCGAAAGAACATGATTGACGACTGGTATCACCAGCTGGATTTGTCCGGTATCCAGTTCAAGTCGCCTAACCCGGTGACGGAGTACTTGTCCAGTGCGGATGAGCGACTTGGATGGCAAGAGAACACACTGCCGGTCGACGACTTGTGCACGGAGAACGCCATCATTCTTAAGCGCTTCAACAGGTATCCTCTCATTATTGACCCGTCTGGAAGAGTTACAGAATTCTTGCAGAAGGAGTGCAAGGATCGCCGCTTGACGGTCACGAGCTTCTTGGATGATACCTTTACGAAGCAGCTTGAGAGTTCGCTGCGATTTGGTAACCCCATTCTTATCCAGGACGCTGAGCATCTGGACCCCATTCTCAATCACGTCTTGAACAAGGAGTACCAGCGAACTGGTGGTCGTGTCCTCATCCAGCTTGGTAAGCAGGACATTGACTTTTCGCCATCATTCAAACTCTACCTTTCTACCAGAGATCCGTCAGCTACTTTCGCGCCGGATATTTGCAGTCGTACCACTTTTGTCAACTTTACCGTCACTCAGAGCAGTCTTCAGACTCAGTCACTTAACGATGTGCTCAAGTCGGAGCGTCCTGACGTGGACGAGAGGCGGTCCAACCTCATTAAGCTGCAGGGCGAATTCAAGGTCCATCTGCGACAGCTGGAGAAGCAGTTGCTGCAGGCTCTCAACGAGTCTCGCGGTAACATTCTGGACGACGACAAGGTCATAGAGACGCTGGAGACGCTCAAGACGGAGGCGGCAGACATCTCCGACAAGATGCGCAACACGGAGGGCGTCATGGCCGAAGTGGAAGAGATTACGCAGCAGTACAGCATCATTGCCAAGTCATGCAGTGCCGTGTTTGCCGTTTTAGAACAGCTGCACTACATTAACCACTTTTACCAGTTTTCACTGCAGTATTTCCTGGACATTTTCCAGTCGGTGCTGCGCGGGAACAAGAACTTGGCCAAGGAGACGAATCACAATGCTCGCCGAGATGTTATTGTCAAGGACCTCTTTGTCAATACATTCAAGAGGACGGCGCTTGGTTTGTTGCAGAAGGATCGCATCACTTTGGCTATGCTTCTCGCTCAGGCGTCACCGTACAAGATGGACAAGTCGATGATTGACGTGATTCTTGACAACCGGATCGCGGGCGTGGATGTGTCTTCTGACCTCGATGCCAAAGATGCCGCTTTCCAGGATGCCCGAAAGCTCAGCGTGCTCAAGGAGAAGCTCGATGCCATTCCGAGCAGCGACTGGGACAAGTTCTTTACCGAGGAGCTGGCCGAGGCTGTGGTGCCCCAAGTTTGGGAAGAGGGCACCTCGGAGACGGACCAGGCTCTTTACTCCCTCTTGCTGGTCAAGCTTTTCCGCATGGATCGCTTTGTTCCTGCGGCGGAGCGCTTTGCTACTCTGGTGTTTGGTTCCGACATGTTTGACATTGTGGACGACTTGACCAAGACTGTTAGTGAAGTATCTGCTACTCTCCCCATTGCCCTGGTGTCTAGCCCTGGTTTCGATGCCAGTTACAAGGTGGACAGCCTTGTGCAGAGAATGAACGTGCGCTGCACGAATATTGCTATGGGTTCGAACGAAGGTCTGGCCAGCGCCGACAAGGCCGTCAGCAGTGCAGCAGAGACAGGATCGTGGGTCCTCATCAAGAACGTGCACTTGGCGCCGACGTGGCTGCAGAGCCTGGAGAAGCGCATGGAATCGCTCAACCCGCATAGCGATTTCCGCTTGTTCCTGTCTATGGAATCGAGTCCCAAGATTCCTGTCAACTTGCTCCGTGCCTCGCGCGTGCTCATGTATGAACAGCCGGCTGGTGTGCGAGCCAATATGAAGGACTCAATGTCTTCGCTTGCGACGCGCGCGGTTAAGAGCCCCGTTGAGAGGACGAGACTTTATCTCTTGATTTCATTCTTGCATGCTGTTGTGCAGGAGAGATTACGATATGCGCCGAACCTTGGTTGGAAGGGTTTCTGGGAGTTTAATGATAGCGACGTAAGGATCCCCATTCTCCCTCTTTGGAATTTTCGTGTAGAACTTTGCTGACTTGTAATGACAGTACGAATGCTGTGCGTTTATTGTTGATGTCTGGATTGAGGGAGTTGCTGGCAATCGAACCAACATTGCGCCGCAAAACATTCCGTGGGACATGATTCGCTACCTGGTCACGGAGACGTATGGTGGCAAGATTGATGATGAAGGCGACTTCAAACTCCTCGGACAACTGGTTACGACGTTCCTCACACCCGCTGCCTACGATGCCGACCACAAGCTGGTGGAGGGAGATGACCCGCTCCTCGTTCCGTCAGGTACTGGTCTGCAAGACTTTTTGGCCTGGGTGCACAAGCTTCCTGAGCGTGAGCCGCCTACGTACCTTGGTCTGCCGGCGAATGCAGAGAAGTTGCTGTTGGTTGGCTTGGGTAGGAGCTTGGTTGAGAATTTACGTAAGGTTACGGGGTTGTTGGACGAGAATGAGAGACTTGTGACGGACTTGGAATAAAAAGGGAGAAAGAGGGATGATTAGATGATTATGGGCCATGATGGTTTTACGTTATGAGCTTTTGAGACGATTAGACGGAGGTTACTTATGGCTTTTTTTTTCGTTTTCGTTTTGTGTTTTATGGAGGGCATGCTGCTTAGTAGATGAGATTATGCGGATACCCTGAGATGAGACTTGTTGATTGGTAGTTTTAGAGGTATGCATATACATGTGTTTTTTATGATTTGAATTGTATTTATTTCGAGTGTCGTGTTGATGTGATGGTTCGTCTGCCCATTGGCCCCACCCTTCGTGGCCAACTTACAGTCTTCGCCTCGGCTCTAAGTTGGTGACTGAAAGTTACACTAACGAGTAAATGGATACTTAGGTAGATGAATGTGAGACTTTGGGACGCCCTCCATTCATATTGACGAGCGTCCAATTTGCGCTTATATCTGGTGATTATGTGGGTGGATGAACATGATATTTGCCGGATAGCCCTCACTCATGTTGATATTGCCTGATTCTCTTTTTTATTTCGATTAAATAATGTAAATAATAAAGTAATAGCAGAAAAGATGCGCTTACATGATTACATTTTACACTTCGCTACGTGCTCCATCCATCCCTCCTCGACGAGTGCTTGATCACCCTTTCTCTGGTCTCAATTCTTACGACAGCTCTATAATTCCCAGCCAAAAGCTATATGCGATACAACCATACGTACCTACTGGAAAACAACCTCTATTTTGCTCAAAGAATTTTTTGTGGTAAAATTAGATTACTTGATTGTGGCAAAAGAGTCTTTGTCCGTGGAAATTACACTTCTTGTACGCGGCAGGGCGAGATTTTTCGTCTAATGAGGCGTGTGGTGAAGATTTTTTCTGAGGAACGAAAGTATGGGAAGCCTAAGAGGCGAAAACGTAAAAGAGCTTGTCAATGGTCATATAGATAGTCGATTAGGGAATAAGTCGTCGTTGTAAATTGCTCTTGAATGCGATTGGTAGTTGCCGTCGAGAGGCGCTTTGACAAAGATGTGCAAGAAGCTTGGTGAATGGATGATGAGGCGAAACAAATGTATATTTTTGGGCGCATATTCTTGGCATAGAGGGTGCCACAGTTTACGTTCAAAAACTGGCCGATGGATGTCCAGTATTGTCGTTCATATGGCATAATATCGGTACTGAATCACTGTCCCAGAGCCTATTATTATCAAATTTCAGATATGAGCCTTTGTTTATAGTTTCAGCAAGATCTGTATAACTTTGAAACACCTATGAAAATGTTTGTACAAAGTATATGCGTTCTGTGGCATATACTTACGTTCGCAGGCTTGAGGCAGTTATAGAATTTACGTTCAGACAAAATGGAGATATTTAACAAGTCCCGGCCCTTCCTTTCTCTGTCGGTTTAAATTTTTATTTCAACTTATTCTGTCCTTTTATATTTCCTTTTATTTCTTCTTTCCATCTGGCGTGCCATTTTAGCGTTTCTCGATACACTCATCAAGGTGTTTATCCTCACTCCCAAGAGTATCCGTGTTTGCCAAGACTACTTGTCTCTCATTAAGCTACTCAGCATCAGTTCTATCATTCTTTGTGGCCGGAAAACTAGTATTTCATCGAAATATCAATATCGCCAAAACCTTTGTCGTTATTGATTGCTACGGCCAAATCGAATCAGGTACAACTATGGGTGTCATCCTGTCTAGTTTGCGATTTCTACGTCGCTTGCTGGGCTACGGCGACAATGCCAGCAACAGCGGCGTTAACGAAATGAATCCGTTGTACCAGCTTCCGCCAGAGCTTTTCTGCATGGTAATCAATAACCTGGGTTTACACGACCAGTTTGTCCTTTCTCAGACAAGCCGTGGCCTGCGGGCCGTCTTTTGTCGCCACTGGGAGTGGGAGATCTCTCAACTCCCCTCTAATGATAGGTCTAGATTTTGGGCAGGATTGGCATTTACTTTTCCGGATCACTGGGCATGTCCGCAATGCTGCAGACTGCATCCTATCAATGAGTCGGATACACCAAATTCACCGCGGAATCCTCCTTGTGGTGCTGATCTTTCTCTACGAATGATCAACCCAGGAGATTATTCCCTCCAACAGAATCACATACAGAATGCTCTAAAGCTCTCTCGCATGGGAAATTCGCACCAAAATTACCTCGACAGCTTGATGAGGTCCCATCAGCTCAGCAGAATGACAGAGTTCATGTTTGAACCGTCCTTTACAGAGACCTACACAGCGAGGCCTAGAATTATTAATGGCCGATTCATCCTGCAACAAGAGTGGGTGATTACAGATGAGATAAGTATTATGAGACCTCTCTTCGATCACATCACCATCCCCGGCTGCCCACACTTGAATGTCTTTGGCAAGGGGATCATGCACTCTAAATGGTGGAAACGGACGGGAGCCAGAATGACTCAGGGGGGCAATCCCAGGCTCAGAGCAAATATCCTCCTTGAGCAGACGATAGAAAACGCGATAATATACGACGGATCTAGCGTTATTTGTTCTTGTCCACGGTGCCCGACGGACTTCGAAGTCAAAGTCTCCGAGGATATGCTGACGGCGACGATCCGGGCCTGGCACGACTTTGGCGGAGAGGGTGCACCCGTGGATACTGGTTGGGACGCACATGTAAAGACTCCTGGTCTATCGGACTGGATTTACGAAGAGCTGCGGTTTGGTCATGTTCCAGGTAGCATTGAGAAGTTGTGGGTGTATACCCCTGAAGAATCAGAACTGGCAAGTCAGCAGAGGGCGTCCGGAGAGGTCAACTCGTGATGCTGGTTATACCACATGGGTTTGGGTTGGATACGTATGCTATGTATAAAACAGACTGGCAATGCGACCGAGTATGTCTTTACTGAAAAGGTGTGTTATTTTGGTTATTTTCGTATTATTTTTTCGTTTTGGCGCTCATTAGACAAGACCATTTCATGAACTATGCAATGGGTCTATGATACACGGGTTGCTGTACTTATATCGCAATAATAGAGTATTTCTTTTGTTTCTTCACATGATTCATATAAAATGTATGTAATACAATACGCAGAAAGAAAATGGTTTAAACACACTTGTAGCAAGACCTTATCCACTCAGCGTCCGTGACGGTCTTGTTGTTCATATAATTTGAGGCTCTGCTACCAGATTGATATAAGCGCAATATGCAGTATCCAATAATATTTCATTCTCCTCTTCTAGAATTCCTTCTCTTCCCTAATCTCAAGACGTCCGGGGAGATTAAAATGCTGTGAAGATGTCGCAAGAAGGCTCCTGTCAAGCCGTCTCCCCTTCCGGGGGCCCTTTCTTCCCCACCCTCAGGGTGTCGGGGGAGGTTGAAAATGCTGTGAAAAAAGGAAAACACCACGCTGCTTTTTTTTTCGTCAGCGCGGTGAGTCTGGGCAAGTATCAAATCCCGACATTGGTGGAACGGGTAAAATAAATATATTAAAAGTAAAGTAAAACTATGTGTAGATACAGAAGAAATATTGGACATTTGAATAAGAGAAGCCTACGTACTGTCGTTTACGGAGGTTAAGCTGCCTTTGAAGTGTTTGCTTTTAAGCATCTGAGTTTGGGAAGCCATAGAATTTGTGCACTATGTCCGCCCTATGAAAATTTGAACGCTTTGTACATCAGGTTGTTTATACATGGTACAAATATATCAAAAATTACATATACTTCGGCAAAAGTAAATACCCTCGGGTTAGTTGGTGGCCGAGGAGAGACATGCATGAGCCGGCGCCTCCAAACGTGTCTATTTAGGGTAGGCTCGTCGTATTCGTTGGGTTGAAGTCGGCGATTGGAATCGCGATGCTTGCAATAATCGGCTAGACTAGCGGTGGTTCTATTAATGAACTATTAGGTATTTGGGGTAATAGATGCAGGCATTTGGCGGGTGGTGTGATTTGGAGGATTCGATTACGCTGGTTGTGGTGCTGAGATGCTATCAGCATGTGAACAAATGGTAAGAGGTACATAGATCACCGCCAAAATAATAGTGCACGGAAGGTATCGTATGATCTAAGAGGACGCAAAACGTGGGCTTGGCAATGCATCACCACTCAGCATCATCATCACTCTATTCTTACAGTATCGTGAACCCAGACTTCGTACTGCAGATTAATGTAACAGCGACAGCTTCCTTCTTTCAGCTCACCACGGCCGTGGCCCGATGGGGTCACCTGCTCCCATTCCCCCACAGTACGTGTAATAGGACAGACACGATCAACCTATTAGGCAAAGACGTAGCCCACGATGAGCATCGTCTCCCGCTTTCAATAGGAGCTAAAGACAGCCTAGCTGTGAGCATCGTGACAAGGGGGGAAGCAAAGTGCATAAACCTTTTTTTCTTGTATTCACACGAAGCTACGTGTCTTAGTTGTACAGTATAAAGGAAGCATGGCTGGCAAGGGAGGCTCAGAGGGGCGTGAAGCTTACACGCCCCCCCTTCCCTTGAATCCTTGCCATGGATGTCGACGGCGTGTACTTTTTCATTTGCTGGGGAAACACAGGCCAGCAAATGGTGACGGGAGCTGCGCGTCATGGGCCGGATCGCAGAGAATCGGCGTCGGCCTTGTTGGCGCTTGTATGACAAGGGAACGATTCACCGTGTGCGGCTTTGCTCTCTTGGTGGCGGGATGAGTTTGCATGCTTCCCCGCAAATGGGTGACGAGTTCAGGGTGCAAGCTTTGGAGTGAATGGGTGGGATGGACGAATGAAGGTGAGGCGATTGAGTAATGAGGATTGTCCTTGTATACACACATGCAGTCACTCATTTGCTTATGGCGTGAAGGGCAAAAGGGTATTTAAACCACTTATAGCCTCGATTTCGGGAGCTTGCCCTCTTGTCTCTTTTCGTCTTGTGCAGCTCATAATTTCCACTGTCTGGGACGATTGGTTTCTTTAAGAGCATTAATCGGCCTTTCTCATTCTCCATACCATTGGCGTGGTTGGCATTTGTACAGCATCTCGTCTTTGATTCCTTCGTACTCGAGGTACGGTACCCTGACCGCGTCGTCATACGAATTCGCAGCATCGCCGAATTGACACAATAAGGCAGACATCATGGCTGGGTGGCAGTCTTGTAAGAAACAATGATTCCAACAATTCCCAGTCTTCACAGCTTGCTAATATCCGCATCACAGGGAACCCCTTCAGTAAGAGGGAGACGCACAGCAATGGCTCCATCGTCGCATACAAGATTTTGACCTTGCTCTCGTGGCTTTTGTCCGTCGTCGTCACCGTCTACTATGCCGTTGACGAGCCTCACGATGGCTTCCACATCCGCCGGCGCATATGGGACCAGAACTACCTGTATCCCAGCGCCTTTACCATGAACCACATCCTTGCTGATATTTACTGGTAAATTCGCCATGGCTTCGTCAATTCTCGCTCAAGCTTTCTGACAATTGAAAACCAGGGTTGTTCTCTTCATCCTCCAGTTTGGATACGTCACATCGCTCTTCTCCAGCAGTGCCGACGTCGTTGCCGCAGCTGCTGGTGTCGGCAGCCACTTCATCCTCAACAACTTGCTTCACTTTGCATTCGTAATGCTCTTTGTGAACTCGCACTTCTACATCGCCGAGGTCATACTGATTCTCAACTTCTTCAACCTCAGCTCGCTGTATTTCCGACACAACACAGTCCCGCGCTTCATTCACGTTCCTGTTGCTACAGGCCCGTTGGCATGGACGTTTGTGGCCATTTACTGGAACGGCGCCATCATGGTGCCGCACCCGCACAGCCTGGTGGCCAGAATCTTTGGCAATGTCTTCATCTGGTCCATTTTGGCATACGGATTCTTCTTCATCATTGCCTTCAATGTAAGTCACATTTGCTTCAAATGTTTTCCCTTGCATCAAATACTAATCATCACAATCCAGGACTACACCATGGGCTTTGCTCTCAGCGTCCTCTCGGCGGCAATTGGTGTCGCCCAGTTCAAGCGCCAGGTCGTTGCCTTCCAGTGGATCTTTGCGTTCATCATCATGGCTATCCTCTTCATCTCGACGGTCACCGTTGCTGTTCCAGCCATGTCGGGCAGAGACGTCAGATGGAGGCGAACCACGGGCAGAGACGAGGAACGCGCGCCGCTGCTCAACGAGTCGGCCGCCTAAAGGCGAAAACAGGCACATCAATTCCTCACCAATTCCGTGAACCCAGAAGCGGTGAGAAGATGCTTGTTTCACAGCAGACAGAATCACCCGAAAAGCCTGTTTGCTGAATCACAAAAGATTCTCAATGTCAAATGGATATGACGTAGGGAGAGTAGCACCACAGATCTGTGGATCTGAGTTGGCAAGGGGCTTATCGCCATGTTTTGGTTCGGCGTACGAAATTAAGTTGAGATTAGGGTATTTGCAGTCCTGTACTCGTAATTGGTAGCATCGGTCGGTTCTGGCTCTGTTTCAGATCCGCGTTCAGTTGGTTACATAACATACAATCTTCATATTTGCATGCAATGATCCCTAGATTTTGCCAAGCTAGGACCTTTTGTTCCGTGAAGACAAGCATCATTCACCATGAGACATTCTGCTTATGACTTTTCCTTGACGGATCGATGACGTCGACGGAAGCAGTGCTTTGGCCACCCGTATCGATAAGCATCTTTGAGCCACCCCCGGCGTGGCCATAGAACAGACCATCTCCACTGCAACTCTGCATTTGCACAATGCATCTTGATATTGTCATTCGTGTCGATAATTGTAATCAGCTTTTATCTCGTCGTCCGGTTTTCATGTGGTTGTGCAGCAGATGAAGCCTCTCAGGCCGTTCCCCTTCCCGCTCAACATCGGAACGGATATTTGCCGGATATCTCGCATCTATGGCATCTTGAGGAGCGATCGGGGCATGCGATTTGTGAACCGCATCTTTTCTCCAGAAGAGCAGGCGAGAAAGGATCCCAGGCTCCGATGTCTCGAGAATAGCCCACTCGATAAGCCCTTTTTGAGTGAGGGAAGCAAACACTTTCAGCCGAGTATTGGAACAACGCCGACCAGTGAAGAAATTGCTCATCGGGATCCTGAGAGATGGGCAGCTGCTACATTTGTTGCGGGCAGGTAAGATTGTATTCTTGCACTTGTATACTGTTTCTTCCATAGGAAGGAGAAGAAAAGATTTATATAAAGGAATTTCTAACTGGAGGAAATCTTGTACTCACATAGATTCGCTGCCAAAGAAGCCGCCATCAAGGCTCACTCCCATCGTCGCCTCACATTTCACGACGTCGTGATTGAGCGCCGCGGCAGAAATGAGGAGCGTCTAGGGAGCGGACCGCCTGTAGCACGTATCAAGGGCGATGAGGGCGAAGATGAGGATGCGAGTGCCATGATCTCGATTAGCCATGATGGCGACTATGCGACGGCGGTCTGTATGGCGTATGATCCGAGTGTGGTGAGCGTGAGTGGTGAACGGGACGAGGGAATAGTGCGATGAGGAGATGTTGACGTCTTTGGTATACCCTATTTATGAATCGAGAAGCATTATAGAAGACAGACGAATGGTATATACTGTACATGTTCGCTTTAGATGATGAACAGGATATCTCACCACTTACTGGTAGCTGCTGTATTGCTGACTGCTTGACCATGTTGCAAAACAATTGCAGAAATGCTGCTGCAAATGTTCACACAGTTGGCAAAAATAATAATAATAGAATTGTCACATGTAGCAAAAAAGGCATTCGCATACATCGACGTACCAGGGACTCGAACCCTGAGCCTCAGTCTTAGGAGGACTGCGCGCTACCATTGCGCCAGCACGCCTGTGAATGACAGTTGATGGTTTGGACCAATTGTGACTAATGGAGGGCGCGAATTTAGCTTGCCCTATAAAGCTGTCGCAAATGTGGACTCTCATTTCTTGATATTCTCACCAGAGAGTTTGAAGCCGAAAAAGAGAATGATTGATAAACTATGAGATGAGTTCTGTGTGGAGGAATGGGGAACTTGGTCAAAAGCTGGGTTGGTTCATGGAAGGCGGTGCGCTGTGGCATTTCACCCTTTTGCGCCTGCCCTTTTCGTGGTACAATGACAGATTAGGTACATTGAGTACGTCGCTGCACTTTTCAACGCCAAGCCATTTCAACTTCATTCTGATCATCCATCTTATATCGTCCATCTTTGTGATGCAGTGGCATGTTGCTTTTGCTACTCCGTATTGTACACATAATCGCCAAACCTTTCCAACACCATCAAACGTACAGTGATACTTTGCCGACGCGGCTCCGATCCATTGTGGGGACAGAGTGTGGCTTAGATGCCAGGATTACAGCCTTGTTTCCGTCGCTGCCTGTACGCTAATACAGATGGTTGATGGACGACCTGCGAGATACAGTTAAAGTGTGAGTGGGTGGGCATTTCAATGGCCTTGCTCGACTGTGGTGCTGCGACTTCATATATTCCGAGTTTGATGAATGACTCATCTGAATGGCTAATAGTGTCCCTGGTGAGCCAAGACAACATTCGCCAGATACCCGAGTTGCCGAGCACGCGATAGAGTCCTTCGAGGACGACATGGACTAGCCAGGGCTCGACTTTCCGGAGCTGGCAACCTCTCTCTTCCGACCACCCGGCTTGGGATACGATATGCCGACCGGTTCAAGCATCTACAGACCGCATATCTTGTTGCTCCTGACGCTCGATTCTATCGACCAGAACTCATGTTGGTTGCGATGCTGCACATCATATCCATATGTGAGATTTCTATGAAGGCTGCCGCCTAGACCTCTAAAAAGGATGGGCATATGACACGCAATTGGACCAACCGGGCGCGCGCCTTTTTTGATCCTCCGGTGGCTGCAGCTCTGCCGATGCCGCGCCGTGCATAAGGACGACACGGCGCCGATGTTTTTGGCTCGCCGAAGTCGTTTTATTCGACCTGCCGTCCCACTAAGTCTCACTATTTTAACAGATTTGATATCAGGGCTAGCATTTACCCGCCATTAGTCAATGGCAGCACTCGTACGAGAGACATGCTTAGTCCAGAAGAGCAACATTACCTCACATCCGCGGCATCTTGTTGCCCGCATCTCTCCCAAGGATCCAGAGCATGGGCCAAGTGCTCCCTTTGCTCACCGTCCCAGCGTCTGCTTGAAGAAACGGTGAGGGCTTCAAGCTGTCCGCTTTCTCATAGGCCCCCCTTATTAACAATGGACGCCTTTTGCACGCTCTGCCTGTAAGATACGAAGCGCGACTAACAAACAAATGCATCCGATGTCCCCATATCGGTCAACAGTGGGGGGACTAGCGCAGGGATTTTTGCAGCCGCGGTGCATGTTGGAGTTCGCCAACAGGGATTGCGACACCCACTGATGCAGGGCCTACAGGCCAAAGAGGCCTATAAGCGGTGATGCCACAAGGCCAGCTACAGGGGTCGGGGGGGCAATTGGGGGCAATTGGGCGAATTTGCCGTTGAGCCTTCTGGCGGGACCCACTCGCGGCGTTCAGTTTTACATTCAAGATTGTACTTCAACTCGAACCGTTTCTTTGTTCCTCACTCAATCCTTTAATTCTTTTTCAACATCTTCAGCCTTCTCTTCAACGAAGGCGAACCTCTGGATGACGGCACCATGGACGTCGTCTTATCCCGCCTTGGCACTCAGCTGCTCACGCCCAATACAGACGAGCTGCTGTTTCGGGAACCTCCCACCTTTCTAAGTCGGTACGTGTATCCCAAGGTTTATCTGGTCAGCATTTCGCTGTCTGTGGTACAATGGCGTGCGCCTCTCATTTCTTGCGTGATGAAATACATCCAATACTTGATTTCCACCAATTTCTGTCTAATTTCTCCTGCTAACAATATGCCTCTGCGTTCTCAGCCTCGGCATCGATACCTCTGAGACTGAATGGATAGGTCGCGTCTCTGAGTTTGCTCGGTCTGGTATTCTTCAGGGTGCGATTCTCGCCACTTCGGCGGCTTGGCTGACTTTTCGTCTTATCCGGCATCGCAAGAACTCCGTGCCAACCACCAGGTCCAAGGCATCATCGATTAAATGGCCCTACGAAATTGTGTCACAAGCCGCCCGCATCGCTTCGCTGGTCTTTTTGACAGTGGCCCTGATCAAGGGGAGAGTGCATCTGCTCAACGTTGTTGCCATTGCCTACGCTTTTGTCCTCGGCTTGATACGACCCATTAGCCATGATCTCGCCTGGCGTCATCTCGTTCTTCATCAAATCAACTATGTCCTGACTGCCACGTTGTTCGTTCTAGCAGCCGCACAGCTGCTGCCTTGTATTGAGATTGGCACGGATCAATGTGTTGGGGATGTTGGCATCGTTGGCTGCCTGTCGTCGTTGGGTGCGGCCGTTATTGTCGCATTGATTACTCCACGAGAATGGATCCCGCCTACCATCAAGCATGATATTCCGGGCTACACGGATCAAAATGATCCTGCTCCTGAAGAGACATGCAGCTGGTTCAACTATTACTTCACCTATGAGTGGCTGACACCTCTCGTATGGAAGGGCACCAGGCAAAAGCTTGACATGTCTGGTATCCCAACGTTAGCCTGGTATGATGAGCCCATGTATTTACTCCAGAAGATCAAGAAGGCCCGAGCACTCTACAAGAAAACTCTATGGACAGCCTTGAAATTTCAGCGTAAGGAGTTGATACTGATGGCCACGTGGGCTGCTGCCGCTTTTACAATGGAGAACGTCTCCCCGTATGGCATGTATCGTCTACTCGACTATCTCGCTAACCCCAGTGGTGCCCAATACCACCCGGTTGTATGGCTTATTCTCATGTTTGTCGGCCCCTTGTCTCGATCCGTCTTGTTTCAGCAATATGTCTTCAACTCAACCAGATTGATCGTTCGAGTCAAATCTGCCATGACTCAGGAGCTATATCACAGGGCTTTGGAGTCAATGGAGTTGGAGGAAGACCCCTTCGATATCAAGGCAGGAGGAAAGACCGATAAGGAGAAAGAGGCGCAGGGAGCCCAAAAATCGACGTCTGCTGGACGTTTGGCAAATTTGATGGCCGCTGACGTGGATGCTGTCTATCGAGCACGAGATGTAATATTGGTTTCTGCGGGTGTCCCTGCAGGTACCATCATATCTCTCTACGGCCTTTACAAAATGATGGGCTGGGTATCTCTGGTGGGAACGGCGATTTTGCTTTTGGCTACTCCGATATCCGTGTACATGGGCCGGCAGATGTATGGCGCACAGAGACGAGTGAGGAAGGCACAAGATACACGCATTTCTCTTGTTGCGGAGTATCTAGCTTCCATTCGCGCCATCAAGTACTTTGCCTGGGAGGATCCCATCACAAATCGAATCATCGAGTCAAGGGCGGCCGAACAAAAGGAATTGTGGCGAGTGGCTGTTCTGCAAACCATGGTCAACCAAGTTACCCAGTGTTTTCCGTACATCGGCCTCCTCGTCATGTTCGGATTGCACGTCGGGGTAGAAAAGCATCCCCTTGACGCTTCTACTGCCTTTACTGCCGCATTCCTCGTGAAGAACATCCGTAGAAACATCATGATGGCCAGTGCGTTCTCAAGGAACTTTGCTGCTGCAAGCGTCGCCTTCAACCGGCTCGACAAGTATTTCGATAGTACTGTGCCCCTCCTTCGATATCCCGTTGGACCCCTGAGAATCGAAGGCGCTTCGTTCCGTCGAAACAAGAAGGCTACATTCCGCCTCGAGGACATCTCGCTAGACTTTGTTGAAGGTGGTCTCAACGTCGTTACTGGTCAAAGTGGAAGCGGGAAGAGTACCCTCCTGCTCGCGATCCTAGGTGAAACGCATCTAGAGGGTGGCAAGGTCACCGCGCCCAACGACATTGCCTTTGCTTCGCAGTCGGCTTGGCTCCAGAATGATACCGTTCAAGCCAATATCCTCTTCCAAAGCCCCATGGACCGCGCCCGATATGACAGAGTAATTGAAGCCTGCTGTCTCAACATAGACCTCAGGGAGCTCTCTGACGGTGACCAGACTGTCGTAGGTGAGAATGGTACATCCTTATCTGGAGGACAGAAAGCTAGAGTGGCCTTGGCTAGAGCCCTTTATTCCAAGGCATCTCTATTGCTTCTAGATGATATTTTCTCCGCTCTCGACGCCAAAACCTCTGCTGGCGTCTGGAAACATTGTTTCTGTGGCGATCTACTCAAGGGCAGGACTGTTGTTCTCGTCACTCAGGTTCCTTGGATCTCAGCACAGGCAGACTTTTCCGTCCTCCTCGAGAGAGGTCAAGTCAAGAATGCCGAGGCCAACATTGGTGCAGTTCGCAGGCCCATCCAGATTGCCGAAATCCTTGGAGGAGATGATGATGATATTGAAACCGAAACCGAAACCGGCACAGAAACTCCTCCAGAGCCTGAGCTTCAATCTAGTGGAGATGCCCTGAATGATCCGTCAAAGGTGGCCACTGAAACCTCGGCCAAAGACATTGTGAACCAGGAAATGAAAGCATCAGGCAAGGTCGGTCGATTGGCCTCCTTGGAGTATATGAGATACTTTGGACACCCGCTTTTCGCCGTCTTTTGCTTGGTTGGCCTCGCCGGCTCCAACGTCTTCTTCTTCGCATCCAGTTATTGGATGGGCATCTGGGTAGAGGCCTACAATAACAACGCTCACGTGGACATCGCCTATTACATGGGTATTTATGCCGCCTTCACCTTTGCCGAGCTAATCTCCTTTGGTTTGGTCATTATCGCTTTCGAATGGGGTGCATGGCGTGCTGGTCGCAAGCTTCACAATGACTTCATCCGTGCGATCATGAGAGTCCCCTTGTCATGGTTCAAGACGATCCCCATCGGTCGCATCACTAACCGGTTCTCCGGCGACATGGCATCAATTGATTCGGGACTTAGCTCCATGCTCCGGGTGACTTTTGATTCCATCATGATGCTGTTTGCCCGTATTGCCGCCGTCAGTTCAATCATGCCGATTTTCATGATACCCGCCTTCTTCACCTGCATTTTTGGCGTTGTGGTTGGCGAGATGTACACACGAACAGCGGTCATCATCAAGCGACTTGCTTCGTCCGCACAGTCGCCCGTCTTCTCCCAGTTCGCCGATACATTGGCCGGGCTGCCCATCATCAGGGCTAGGGCGGGTATGGGTGAAACTTTTGGTCGCGATCTGGCATCCAAGCTGCGCGTTTGGTCGGCCGCAGCAGAGGCTAACTATAACTGCAACCGTTGGGTGGCCATGCGAGTGGACTTTGTGACTTCCCTAGTCGCTCTTTTTGCTGGCATTATCGCTCTTTCAAAAGTTGGAGTGGTTGGCGCTGGTTTGGTCGGTTTCTCCCTTAACAATGCCAACGGGCTGAGCCAGACTATTCTCATGCTCGTACGAGCCATGAACGACCTTGAGGTAGAGATGCAGAGCTTCCATCGTGTCAAAGAATATGTCAAGCTGGAGCCCGAAGGTAAAGACGATAAAACATATGCCGAAGAAGGGGAATTTGCAGACGATGAAAGCCACGTCATTCCCAAGAATTGGCCCAAGTCAGGAGAAATCGAGTTTCGCAACGTCACCATTAGATACGATCCTGATGGCCCCAACATCCTCACGGACGTCAATCTCAAGTTTAAAGCTGGAGAGCGAGTTGCTGTCGTCGGACGAACCGGCTCCGGCAAGAGTACTCTTGTTCTTTCTCTCTTGCGGTTTACGCATATTGTCTCTGGTCAAATCTTGTACGATGGAATCGACATTACCAAAATCCCCCGGCGCAGGTTGCGTGAAGGCCTCACAATCATCCCTCAGGAAGCGACACTGTTCAACGGAACGGTGGAATCTAACCTTGATCCTACCGGTCTCGTTCCCAAAGCGATTCTTGAGAAGGCGTTGGAAAACTGCAAGGGCATTGCGTCATTTTCCAGTGACGATTCCTCTGATGAGACGATTGTCGACGGTGTAGATGACTCTGTTCACGGACAGTCTCAAGGAATTTCTTTGACGACACCAGTGGATGCCCGCGGAGAGAACTTTTCCCACGGCCAACGCCAGGTCTTGTCTCTCTGCCGTGCGCTTATCCGCCAGAGCAAGCTGATGCTGCTAGACGAGGCTACTGCCAGCATGGACTACGAAACGGACAAGGGCATTCAGCAAGTGTTACGCACCGAGCTCGAATCTGCTGGCGGAGACCGCACACTCGTGACGATTGCTCATCGCTTGCGGACCATTATCGACTATGATTCCGTTGTCGTGATGGGCGCCGGCAAGGTAGTAGAGTAAGTAGCCATGCCTCCAGCGGTACAGCGCCAGGTTATATTGTAAAATCGCTAACTTTTGATAGATATGGTTCTCCCCGAGACTTGTACAATTCCAAAGGCTTGTTTTACGACATGATATACCACAGTGGAGAGATGGAGGAGCTACAGGAGTTTTTGAAGGATAAATAATGGAGTACATTTTTTATTTTTATTATTAAATGGCGATAGAAGATAATTTTGGGGGCATACGAATTTGGATAAACGAAGCTTCTGGCATAGAGGCGAGGATGAGAGATGATACCTTTAAAAGGGGGTTGCTGAACGCTGAAAGGCAAACGATATTCTGAATAATAAAATGCTTCAATATGAGACGTCCCCTCCTACAAACATCTTTTATCTATACATCTAACGAGCCTTCCCCTACCTACTTGCTACCCAAGTTCCAGATGCCTATCCGTCATTTACACGCTAACCTTTCACTATGACACCCTTGCGAGTCAGGGATGTCATCACTGGAAAAGTTCAACATTTATGAGTTTAGACACTGGGCATGCACTTGAGGTCAGGAATACATGTAAGTTTTGGTAGCCATTTGTTTGGTGCATGTACACAGCGTCTGGAGGCCCTGGCAGCCGCAGCGACCCTGGTTGACAGGCATGAATCCCTGATCGTAATTCCCCGACTCGGCCGAGATGTCAACAGAGTCATCCGGCGTCATTTGGCTAGAGCTATAAAGGCCGGAAGACTCATCACATACATGATAAGAGTCAACAACAAGCTGTGAGCCATGCGATATCAAAGTTATGCAATTCACATGCATGATTGTACGCGGCAGTCGGGCAAAAGCGTGCTCGGATACACTAAGAGCATGCATATGCAGACGTTCAAAATACTGCCGGGCGGTGTGTGCAGATTTACCGGATGGAGCTCCATACGCGGATACATCATTGGCCACCTGCCAGATGCGGGGCTGTGCACGGACCTGCCGTCCGCGATTAGAAGAAAAAAAAAAAAAGTTCCAAACTTCTTAAAAACTTCACATGCGCTGTCATCGTCATTCTATCCCTGTACCTCATCGATATTGACGAACAGTTCTTGTCACCATGCGTTACATTCTCGTTTCGGGCGGAGTCATCTCCGGTACTGCACCATGTTCCACGCAATAATTTGGCGCCTGCTAACAGTTTACTAGGTGTTGGAAAGGGCATTATTGCCTCGTCCACGGGCCTGGTATGCTTCTATCATTCGTCTATGGCGGGACTCGGATCTTCGAATATTAACCGCCCGAATAGCTTCTCAAGACGCTCGGCCTGCGTGTCACCTGCATCGTGAGCATTACCTATCTGGAATCGCCTTAAAAAGTTTAGCATCGGCCTCTAACTTGAACGATGACGGCAGAAAATCGATCCTTATTTGAACATTGATGCTGGAACTATGAACCCGAAAGATCATGGAGAATGTTTCGTTCTGGACGACGGGTAAGCAGCTTCTGGAGCCCTTTCTTGCCCTTTCCAAAACGATTTTGGCAACCAACGACAAGTGTCTCGTACCGGAATCGAAAATTTCGAGCCCAGGGAGAAAAACTTTTACATGGAGTAAAAACTGACTCTTGGCATCTCAGTGGCGAGTGTGACTTGGATCTTGGTCACTACCAGAGATATCTGGGCATCAACCTCTCCCGAGACCACAACATCACCACCGGCAAGATCAACATGGAGGTCGGCCTGAGGGAACGCCGTGGAGATTACTTGGGCCGTACCGTCCAGGTCGTCCCTCACGTCACCAACCTCATTAAGGAGTGGATTGAGCGGGTCGCCAGAATCCCCATCGATGAGTCGGGCGCCGAGCCTGATGTCTGCATTGGTATGTCGCATCTGCCTTCACGGCCACAAGCTACACTGGACACTCGCTGACAATTTCTTAGTTGAGCTTGTATATACTCTCTTCCAATCCTTATGCTTGCGCTCCTTCTAACCTTTCATTTTACAGGGTGGCACAGTTGGCGATATCGAGAACATGCCCTTCGTTGAGGCGCTTACACAGCTCCGACACAAGTGTGGCAAGGGCAACTTCATCAACATCCAGGTCTCATATGTTCCCGTCATCAACGGCGAGCAAAAGACCAAGCCCACCCAGCACGCCGTCAAGACTATCCGGAGTGCCGGTCTCATTCCCGACTTGGTAAGAGCTTGAATCTACTTATTGCCTAGTCGGTATTTAGCTAACGACTCTGACAGATTGCTTGCCGTTGTGAGCGTCCTCTTGATCAAGATACCATCAACAAAATCGCCCTTCACTGCCAGGTCGAGCCTGAGCAGGTGATTGCCGTCCGAGATATGCCCACAGTCTACCAGGTGCCAGTCCTTCTGAAAGAGCAGGGTTTGATCACCGTTCTGCAGTCGATCTTGATGCTGGACAAGCTCACCCCTGAGCCAGCCCAGGTCAAGAAGGGTGCCGAAATTTGGCAAAAGTGGAAGGATGTCATCTCAAAGAACTACACAGAGACGATCGACATTGCCCTGGTTGGCAAGTACGTCGAACTTCACGACAGCTACCTCAGTCTCTACAAATCATTAGAACACGCGGCTATCCACTGTAAGCGCAAGCTGAACCTGATCTGGGTTGATTCCGAGCATCTTGAGGAGTCGACCCGGGAGGCCGACCCCGCCTTATACCACAAGGCTTGGCACGATGTTTGCTCAGCGTCCGGTGTGGTTATTCCCGGAGGCTTCGGCGAGAGAGCCACAGAGGGTATTATCAAGGCTACCCAGTGGGCCAGAGAGCACAACACTCCCTGGCTGGGTATCTGCTTCGGTATGCAGCTGGCCGTTTGCGAGTTCGCCCGCAACGTCTGCGGACACGCCAACGCCACCTCCGAAGAGTTCGACGAGAATGCCGAGTACCCCGCCGTCATCTTCATGCCCGAAGGCTCCAAGGAGACCAAGGGCGGTACCATGCGACTTGGCCTGCGCACCACGCACTTCCAGCCTGGCAGCGAGGACAGCAAGCTCCGAGCCATGTACGGCAACGCAGAGACTGTCGATGAGCGCCACCGACACCGCTACGAGGTCAACCCTGCCCTTGTTGACGAGTTCGAGAAGGCTGGCTTGTCCTTTGTCGGCAAGGACGATACCGGCAGGCGTATGGAGATCATTGAGATCAAGAGCCACCCTTACTTCGTCGGTGTGCAATACCACCCGGAGTACATCAGCCAGCCGCTCAGCCCCTCCCTCCCCATCCTTGGTCTGGTAGCCGCCGCCATCGGATGCCTCGACGAGGTTACCAAGGAGGTCTGCCAGGCCAGAAATGAGGCCAACGGCACTGTCAACGGAACCGCTTAATGGAATGAGTACTGAAGGTCTTGTATAATTTCCTCGGCTAAACCCCGAGGCCTTGAATCCTTGCAACAGCATGTGTAGATATAGAACCGCAGGTTTACGTAGCAAAAAGTCTGTGGATGTTACTATCTTGATTAAAAAGGTATATCTTATACCGACCCGCTTAGCCCCTTCGGAGTGGGCAGGCTGTTGACTGCTTCCTATGCAGCCAGCCTCCCACTCCAGAGCCACCGTGAGACGTCCTTCATCTTCCCGACGAGGGGGAGGGACGCTCACTTGGTTGGCGGGCTTGGCGGGTTTCAAGATAGGTTGTTTTGTTAGCTTTATAGATACTCTTTTTAGATAATGCCTTGGCTTCATCAAGCTGGATTGACTTGATGCCTCGAGGCCAGCACGCGAGCGCTGGGCTTAGATGCTTCTTAATGAACAAAATAAAACATAAAGAATAATTTGCAACTCCTCGTCCCACTCCCCACCGCCAATTTTAAAACTTGACTCGATGAGCTACCCTATTCAGCCCATCCTTCATTATTCATTACTTCGATACGAAGTGGTGTCAGGCCCAGCGTATGTAATCTCGCTTCTTATTCAGTATGACGCCTACAGATTGGACTGGTGTATACTACGAGAACTGCGCTTTGCTCAGGCCAGATCAATACTCGGTCTTATATATCGGATTGCTAGGATAACAAAGGAAGCTCTTTACGAAATAGTCATTGTGAAGAATTGATTGAGGGTTGAATGTAAGGCAGTTCTATATCTTGACGTCGTAAGTAAGTGGAGGAGAAAAAAGACGAGTGGCTGTATCGCGCTTCCACCCCCAACAAACAACCATTTTCTTTCGCACATATGTAAGACAGAGGAAGCTTGATGGAAAAGAGATATGGATTAATTTACAAAAAGAGCAAAAAAAGAAATCCCATGTCCGAATGGCGGCTGGTGAGCATTGCTCCCGGCAGGGCTTGAACCTGCGACCTTCGCATTACCAAGACTTTTGAGTCGTGAGACTTGAAAGTATTAGTACGAAGCTCTAACCAACTGAGCTACGGAAGCCAATCCGGATGGAGGATTCGGTGGATGCGACTCCACTTTCGGAACCAGGATGGCTCTGAACTGTTGAATGACGGCGTACTTATTATGGTATATACAGGATTCACACGTATTGAAGATGTTCACAATATGCTCGCTGAAGACGTATACTTTGAGATTCCTGTAAAAGTAGAAGGCCTGTGTTTGCTGATACGTATTTAACATCGAAATGGGCCTGTGTTGGTATACAGTAGAAAGAAGCCTAGGCGGAGCGTAATAAGAAGAACATCAATGATCACGATGCATTACTTCCCGATGTAGCTGTGTGTATGGGGGAATGAATGCGATTAGATTGCTCCTTGACTAAAGAGTCAAAATTGAGTCCAACAACGTGATAAATGCCCATATTATGGGAAGCTACATGTGGAAGACTGTGATTATGTGGTTGGATTTGGCGGAGTCTGAGCTTATTGGTCATAATCCCATAAGAATCTAAAGTGTATTCAAACATAGGTACACTTAGAGGTACTCCGAATTGTTGAATGGCTGTCTTTAATATTATACACAGGTTACAGCTGTTTTATTTACTGAAATCACAATGCTTAGAAGATTTTATGATGTCAATCTTCGAGCAGATTGTAATGGACGCTGTGCGATTCAATGGAATAGTTTGAGCGTCTGCAGTTGTGCCATGACCCCTCTTTGCTGCTGAGCTTCAAGATACTGATCCCATTACCCAACACTGTAAAAGATCTATATGGACAGCGAGAGAGAGAAAATTTCGCACGAGACAATACATACTCATTGGATGCAGTTTAAATAAATACTAAAATTTATACAGTTATTGGATGATCCATGAACATATCTTATTATCATGTTTTTTCCTTAAGAAGATCGTCCGTATATGCAATATCCTGGATGAACTTAATGGCGACTACTGTGTCAGATTGCTTATGGATAGATTTGCGCGGGAAACTGAGACTCACTTGTCAAAAGCTCAGTTTCATACCTCAGTGGGGATATGCCGAAAACTTCATGAACCAGACTCTCCCTGAATTGCAGCCGACAGCCAGTGTTCCCTTACTCACAACGCTGCAATCCAAGGCCGGCCGATATTCCGTAGGTATCCAGATCAAGTTAACACCATTCCATGTAATCCAAGAGTAATCTTCGTTGAATCCAAAGCCGTCAAAACGGATAATTTGCTCACCACGGAGCGTCATAAGCGCCCCGAATCTTGTCACCAGATGTAAACCATCAGGCGTAAATGACAGGTAATCTAAGCCATCGCGTCTGTGTGTATGAAATTTATGAACGCACTCGCCAGTATTCGTACGCCATAACTGAATGATGCCGCGCTGAGAACTTGATGCGATGAGTGATGAGTCATGAGAGAAGGCTACCGCAGGAAACCAAGTTCCGCCTCTTATAATTCCGCCCCTCATCAATTCGCGGATGCACTCGCCCGTATCAACACTCCATAACTGGATGGCGTGGCCTGATTCTGATGCTAAAAGTGATGAATCGTGCGAAAAAGCCAAAGACTGACTGAATTCTTCATATTCGAGTTCAAGGAAGCAATCGCCTGTATCAACTCTCCACAATGGGATGGTACCCTCTGAAGCTGATGCTATAAGTGATGAATCATGTGAGAAGGCTAAAGTATATATGTTCTCCCGATATGTGAGCTTGCGGAAGCACTCGCCCGTATTAACGTTCCATATCCAGAGAAAAGTTTCATCAGATGTAGCCATAGCCACATACGTTGAATTATGCGAGAAAATGATGCGGCATATCTCCAGAGGCAATTGTTGCTGCGGAGAATCTTGAGAGATATACCATCTCCTGAATTCCCGCACACAGTCTCCTGTCTCAGCGTGCCATATTCGAACGATGCCATCGTATGAAGACGATGCAACGAGCGATGAATCATGAGAAAAGACCATATCTTTTACGCCTTCGCTATAGCCTCTATTTCCTTGGATGCTGTCGCTTGTTTCGGCACGCTTTAGCGGGAGAGCCTTATTGCTATAGTCATCGGATTCCTGGACATCGTTATCTAAGTTATTTTGCCATAAACGAATAGTTCCATCCCCTGATGATGATGCTATAATGGTCGACTCATGCGAGAAAGCCACAGATAAAACACTCTCAGTATGGCCTTCAAAGTTTCGTATACACGTGCCCGTTTCAACGTTCCATAGTCGGACAGTTTTATCTGAGGAAGCTGATACCATAAGAGATGAGTCATGTGAAAGTGCTATAGAAAAAACCTTTCGACAATGCCCTTTAAATTTTTGAACGCAATCGCCTGTATCAGCGCGCCATACTTGAATGACGTGATTTGAAGAGGATGCGACAAGTGATAAATCATGCGAGAAAGCTATCGAAGCATCGGAATGAGATTCTAACGTTTCACGGCTAGCAAGTGTCCGTACGTACGTGCCGGTATTCGTCTCCCATAGCTGGGTAATAGTTTCATGACTAAAGCCTGCTGCTAGAAGCGACGAATCATTTGAAAAAGCCAAAGAAGATCCCTGCATATAACGTTCCTTACTCGGCATGCCTAGTATGTGAACACACTCGCTCGTGTCAACGCGCCATAGCCGGATAACATGATCATCAGATGCCGATGCTACAAATGACGAATCATGCGAGAAAGCCACGGATATGACTGCAAAATCATGACCCTCGAGGGTGTGGACGCATTTACCTGTATCAATGCACCACAGCCGGATAGTCGTATCCTCTGAACCTGATAACACATATAACGAATCATGCGAGAAGACCACTGCATTAACTGGTTTGGTATGGCCCTTAAACTCTTCAATACACTCGCCGGTATTAATGTTCCATAGTCGAATAGTTTTATCATCTGACGCCGATGCTAGAAGCGATGAATTGGGAGAGAAGGCCACGGAATTAACAATATCCAGATGACCCTCCAGTGTCTTTATGCATTGATTCCAACTGCGCTCTACCTTCGGTTCGAGAGATATCCACTTAGGTATTCTCTCCTTGAACAGGTTCTTGACGATACTCTCGCTCGGAGCAAATAAAAGAACCGAAGAGTAAATCTGAAGGGGTGCACTGGCAATTATATGTAAACTTGGCTGAAGGATACGCAAAGCGTCATCTAAAAATTCAGAGAGCAGTTTGTTACTTTTTTTCTGTGATTAAGTCAATAACTTGATACCGTATGCTTTTGCTTACTTTTACTTGGAGAAAAAAAGAAAAGAAAGACTTACCAGTGAAAGCGCTTGTAAGCTTGTGATCATCTTAACGCTCTCTGGTGCTTGCTGTATCAGGCTCAACGCCTCAACCCAATGTAAAAAATGTTGCTCCAGAAATTGAAGTGTTTCTGCATAATTTTCGACGTGATAATTTGCTCCCTGAAGGTGGAATACCCAATTTAAGCATGCGTACTGGACCGCGGCAGGAATGCATACAGCTGGTCAACTATCGAACTCTCCAGTCCCTGTGATCGTAAGCCACACATGTCTTCTCGAAGGAATCCTTTCATGACGTGCAAACAATTATCTGTCATTTTTGCATGAGTTTCTGCTTTATCGATCCAAAAAGGGTTCAGTCCTTTCTTTTCAGAATCGACTAGGAAATCGCGAAAAGATAAATGCAATAACCTTATTGGAGACTCAGATGACTGCGGTATGCTTAAAACGGAATGAAGCATATCTAGTCTTGTATCAATGGCATCCCTAGAAATTCTGAGGAGCTGTAATAGACTGGATGTCGACAAAGGGCTTGCCAGGAGCACGATGCTGCCAACAATGTATTTGAACTGCTGCAACACTTCATTTCGCTCCCTTGTAATAAGCCCAGCAATCTGTTGATTAAGGACAGGCAGGTAGGTTGCGTCGAGTTTAGACTCTTGGCTTTTGGTTTCATACTCTAGGACCTTGCGAAGTTGGTCATCAGGGCTTCCACATTTGCGGTCGGCAAGAAAGCGACATATCGTGGAGGCAAAAATAAAAAGCGGAACTGCCATCTTAACCATAGTATCTATACTAGATTAGCCAGGCCAGTCTCTCTTCAACTATCGATATTCTTACACTGTTTTATTATAGTTATCTCGAATTATCTATAGCTCATGTCTTATTAAAACCGATAAGTCATGCTGAATAACAGGCTCAGATATTTCATAAAGAATGACGTCTTAAAATTCTCCTTGGATTACAGAAAATCCTAAACGAATTAGGAGCTCCGGCCGACTGGTGAGAAAGACTCTTAGCCCCAAACTTTTGTCATAATTGAAGAGACGGATGATAAGTTTAACATCATCCTCTAGCTCACACTCGTCTAGGGCATCAATAACTATAACAATAAAGCCTGATTTTCTCTGATCTAGAGGAAACTTAGATAGAGGCTGCAAGATAAGCTAGTTAAACTACTCCCGTAGCCCTTTGTTACCAATATCAGAATTTAATTTAATTGCATCTTTGACATAAGGTCCGATATCGGTTTGCATTATGGCTAGTTGGGCGGCTATAGTTGTAAATAGCTTTGCCGAGCTTCCTCGATCACCGTCGCCTCTTTTAAAGAAAAAGCTGGCGCCCAGATAACCGGTTCTGACAAGAGATTTGGCAATAGTGCGTGAAACGGTCGACTTGCCTGTTCCAGCCATTCCATTTAGCCAGAAAATGGCCTTGGCGTTTGGATCCTGAGTCCAACTCATGATATGCTGGAGTAATTCAACTCGCGTATCCGGTAAGCAAGTCGGGTTGTGCTCCTCGGCGTGGGAGTCAAAGGCAGCCCCTTCCGCAACTGGAAGTTTGATAGACAGAATACTTTGACTAATATGATTTATCTTTTCATCGACTTCAGTTATTTTTCATCAACTTTGCTCTGTTAGTAGTGCATCATACAGTAAAGGAATAGACTGAGAGCCCACTTTTCATAACTATATCAATGATCCTTTTCTCGGACTCGATTTTCTTGGGGGGGATTCGGTTGAGGAGGTCTTTGGCGTATGCAGCAGCAGTCATTGCTGCATAACCATGCCAATCTGCATATTTATGCGAGTCTGAGTAGTCGCAAACTCCACGGATGACCAGACAAGGAAAGTGATTTATTAACCCTGCTGCCTCCATCTCAAAGCATAGCACAGCATTCTCGGCCGCAAGCCTGTCTCTTAATTTCGCATCGTTCATTAATTGGTTTGCTGAAGCGATGGTGCCATAGTGAACTGTTGGATTGTCATCGTCCTCTGTTCGTTCATGGCGAGGCTGCAAATTGGACGGACTATCAAGGCAAAATGCCGTACAGCTTCTTTCATCTGGCGGATGAACTATCTCGCTTTGGAACAATTTATCGCTACTTGGGTCTGGACGCCTATAATTCTTCTGTAGCTTTCGCTTTCTGGCAAGAATGCCATTGATCATTTCTTCTAACTCATGACCCTCAGCCTCGTATTGAGCTTTAAGTCCGGCGATGGCCGCTCTTAAAATTGTCGGTGGCTGGTCTAAGAATCTGGTTTGTTGGAATGCTTGATCCTGCATCGTTTTACTAAAGTCGTATTGAAATACACCTCCTTTCCCGTTACGAGGCGCGCTGACAACAATGTCGCCTAGGCGGATGTCGTGCTCGGCACTTGGTGCACCACCGCCAATGCCCACCATTAAGCCGATCCTGATATTGGGAAAGCTGTGCAACATATCTCTCGCAACAGTAGCTGCAGAAGCTGTTCCATATTCGCCGTCGGGTAGGACAGCGATGACCACGTTGTGTCTTCCCATTTTCCCTAGAGCATAGTCATTATTATCATGGGCAGAGACATCTTCAGGACCTGCATGCTTCTCGTCTAGAAAAGCTTCGGCGGCGACACGCTCAGTGCTTATAGCACAGATCCACCCAACAGTGTAATCTTCAGGATTCGGCATGTTTGCTAGCGAATAAAAATGTTATCAATTGAGCTCAGTGAGCTTCATCGTGGAAATTTAGTGATGCCGTAAATTCCCGAGAGACATGGAAGAGATAAAATGAAAGAAACACTTGAGCCATTAAGAAAAGCAGCCTTCTCGACCCCGCTCACATGTAGTTGGATCAGGCTGCAGCTATGCATCATATTTGCTGCCCGATGTTTCTATATTCCGAAAGAGAATCTATGTGGGTGATTGACCTATCAGGTGGCCAGCCTACCAGATCCGTAGCCAGCAGTATCCTATTGTCAACAATCCCATGGCTGCCATGTGATTTGGAAAGCTCCTAACATCCCTTGAAATCGTCTACCCAAGTTGCGATATTATGCACTGGATTGTCGCCTAGCTGTTTAATATATGAACAACCCAGTCCACGTTTATATCTACTATTCTAGTAGTCACCTATCGGGACGAATGGATACTGGCTTCGAATATTAGCTCACTCGGCTTCTGCTGCAAAGTGGTTCATCGCGCATAGTCTTTGCCCATAAATACCTATCTATACCCCTGTGGTTACACCCAGACAGGTGCTTCGTGATAGTAAAATAATTCTTTCCAGACAGCTAATGCTGATACGAGTTCAAAGTGTGATTTTTTGTTTCAAATTATGGCTAAATAAACACGAAAGTCCAAAATGATGAGCATCTCCTTCACGCGCCACTCAAGTGCCGTTGATAATATCGGGGAGGGTGACTTTACGACTGGAGACGCCGTCAAAGTATCCGACGATGCCATCGGGGTATGTGATCCTCTGAACTATGTGGCTTGTTGATGTTACACCAGACGATGGCTAAGTTCAATCTTAGTTTGGGGGTGTGACTGCTGAAGCAAGGGCGTTGGTGGTAAAGAATACATGCATGTTCGACCGCCGAATTCGCTTATATATCGGCAACTTCGACATTCATAGCCATCATGTTCATAGCACCATCACTGCCTAGGCTGCAGAAACGATTTCACCTCCTTAGCCTCCTTGTGGATCTGATCCCACTGGATTCCCATCAGTTCCTTGAATGCGACGGCATCAGTATCATTGCTATATCCAATAGCTGTAATAATGTTGTAAATAGACCCAAGATAACCACCTGCCCGCTCGCAGAGTTCGACCCATAAGCCTAAATTTGTCATAGATTGGTTGATGGTTTGTAAGTCCTGAGTGCGTTTAACGATCTGATTTCTGAGCTTGACTATTTCAGAGTCCCTAAGCGCTTTAGGCTCGTCGATTTTCGTGCCATCAGTGGGCTGGCTGAGTCCCAAGTTTTGAAACATCGCGAACTGAGGTGGGCGCGCTTGCTTAATCTCCTGATCGTATTGAGTTTCTACGCTCAAGACTCTGTTTTTAAGCAGAGCAATCTCGCTCTCGAAACGATTAATTTCCTCTCTGGCGCACCCATTAGAGTTCATGAAGGCGTTGTTGGCAAGACGCGAATTTTCCAAGGCCATTCTGCAAGACATCAGGGCCTGTTTCTGAAAGGCTGCGCACCGAGCGACTTCTTCCTCCGTAGTGGACACGTTAGGGATTTTTTTCATCCATTCTTTGGAAACTGACACTAGAGCGAGCGTCTTGTCGAGCATTTCCAGCATGCTGTGTCGAGCGTTTGCCAGAATGCCATTTAGCATCCCGCTACTGGGATGGTCAGAGGAGAATGGCGCTGTGCTAGCTAGCAAAGGAGTACCAGCGAGAATTTTGGAAATGAGTGTTCCGGGATATGCTGAGGGGATTGTGCCAACGGCACCAGCAGCAGTGACTATGGTTGATGTGAGGCTGGGGTGAAAACGGTAGAAGTTGGTGAACAAATCAAGGACCTCAGCAATCTCTTCGGGAGGGCTCTGAGACTGGAAGAAAGCTGCGTCGAGGCGAAGATCGTGAGACAAGGCTTCCCCGGCGAGAGCAAAGATCCCGGTATTAGAAATGTGAAATATGCTGCCTAGTAAACTGTCGAGGACCGCAGAGTTATCCCCTTTTACGCCGTTTGTGGTAACACCGTTGATACCCGTGACTCTGGTTGAGTACCAGTGTCTTGACAATGCTAGGGCCTTGCGACACAATCTGAGCAGACTGTCCAATCGTCTTGAGAACCCTATCGACGTGATGAATCCGTGGAAGTCTTGTGAGATATTGAGGTTCAAAACTGAAGGTCGCAGGGTCTAGTCCTGAGGAGATGGGATCGAAGCTGAAGAACGCCGGGATGGCAGCGGTATGCCAATACTTTATATCTTGTGTTGATACTGGGTGTGAAATAACGGTGGACTATTGGCCATCTGCTCTCATTTATAGACATTCTTTTTGGGCGAACTCTGGACGTGCCGTGTCCAAAGAAGTTAGAGTGTTGCAAGGCATTCCTGGCTCAGTGAACGATCCAAAGTTGCCTTGTTCATGCATATGCACTATTGGCTGCGAAGATGCAGCCCCCATAGCTCATACCCATCCGCTTCATGGCTAGTTGAGTCTTAGTTCACTCTTGTCTTATCCTAATTACACTTTATTGATTTTGAAGGCCAAAGCTGAGATGCTAGTCCAATATTTCCTAACGGGAGTTGGCTCCGAGACTTGATTGGCTACGCGCTATGGGGTGAGACTTGATTCTCGGCACGCCAACGACTAGTCAAGGCCATTAGTTTCTGAAATTGAAGCCGTTCCCTTGTCGCCCAGAAACATAGTGCCCGTAGCCTACCTTTCCCAGTTCTGGACAAGCTGTTTAATTCGTAGCTGAGGTGGCAAATGTGAGTGACCAGTAAATAGAATCGATAGTTTGTCCAATTTCGGTGGTCATGGTTAGACAACGAGTGACTTTGTGATATTGACATTCTCAGAGGTCGGGGCAAACAGCAAAAATCCTTTTTAACGAAGCTCTTCTGGCACTCCGTAGTTTGGCATGAAGAGTTTCGTCGCGCACGAAACCGAACTATTACAGCATTACACTCTTCAGCGCTTTGAGGTTCGTTCTTAATTGTGGTCGCAATTTGCGTTGCCGCAAAAGTCATTCAGAATTGACCAAATATAGCATGATGTGACTTCTGGATAGTTGGTTGAATTCGGCTATAAATACGGCCACTGGGACGTATGTTGCCCTAGGCAGACAGAAGATTGAAGAGGACTGATTGAATATTTGATGTCTTTTGAAGGGGATATATTGAAGCCGATCATTCAGGTGTTTAATCTACTTCTGGGTATCTTTATTCCTCTATCATAGCTTTGAGAGGGAATCTTATTATATAAACGGACTGCGTAGTCTGTTTGAAGCATCTGCCTGTTGGCCACCCAACATTAGCGACAATAAACAAAACCTGCCAGATAGGGTCTATCAGCTCTCTGGTATACCTTGAGATCCAAAACCACTCTTTCTTTCACCTAGTCACTGGCTGGCACTCCACTGGAATGCTTCCCGAATGACTGCTCTTGTCTCATCTGTAATGTCCAGTTCATCCAACTCCTCCTCTGTGGCCCAACGGCTCTCTGAATGTTCGTCTATACTCAACTTCACCATTCCATCGGACACTGAAACCACATAGTTGAGCTGAATAGCGCTCTTGACAACTGAGGCTTCGACTCCTGCGTCGCTCTTAATGGTTTTCTCAGTTTGGTATATCATTGGACCCAGCTGTGCGGAGATTCTGGTGACATCTAGCCCCGTTTCCTCTTTTACCTCACGGACAAGGGCATGTTTGAGTGTCGGGTCAGTTAAATCGACTTTCCCGCAGGGTAACTCAAAGATGTTGGGGAAGTATGGTTCATGAGGTGCCCGTTTCAAGAGAAGAATGCATGGCATTTTTGAAGAGGTCAAATTCGGAATGTGGCGAAATATGGCCGCCCCAACTACAAGCTGGTCGTACTGTTGGCCAGACGCAGAGAGTTGGCATTCTCGAAATTCTTTGCCTGAATAGTTGAGTAATTGCAGGTTAACAGAGTTGTCAACTGAGAAGGATTCGACATGCCTCTGGATTGCCATGGCCATTTTGGCTAGGTAGATGTACTCGGGCTCAAAGCAAGAGAATCCAATGAGCTCGTGATTGTCTTTTTAAAGGTAAATGGATAGCTTGCGGTGTACTCTGTAGGTCATTCAGTGAGGCTTGAGGATTGGCTCGAATCGAGAACAAAATGTCGGTGCTTGAAAGTTAAAGGTCAATGAAGGATGAAGAAGGTGATTCTGTTTGGAGATGCTGAAAGCATCGATTGAGGTAATGACTGAGAAGAGAGGTGAGTTCATACCCTAGCGGTCAGTGAGTCATTGCCGAAAAACACAAGCATCAATTGGGCGCCCGCAACTTGAATTTCGCCAATTCGCATTGGCTGAAAAAAAGTTTAAAGCTCAGAAAGTTGAGGTATATATTTTAACAGCATTAATCTATAAAATAACATCTAGCCCCTCGAATTGATAGGCCAGCTGCCTATAGCCTTTTATAAAGTCAACTCTAGGACGTTGGAAAGACGAGCAGACTGCGCTGTGTTCTGTCAGCTTAGTACCTACAGAAAAATGCTCAATATTTCACAGATTTTTTTTGTGTCAAGAAGATGCTTCGTCCAAAGGGTAAAAGCTTGTGTGATTACTGCTCATGTACTCATTCACTTCGACGTCTTGCCGACAGCGTTCCATATTTTCTTAGGTCATGATTCATTGAGTATATCGCGAAGGTATGAACAACGAAAGAATAGTGAGTAAGTTTAATAGTATGTCTAAAGTGAGACCTTGGGATAGAGATATGTATAGAGGAACAAATTTTATTTTATTTTAATGGCGTGTTATTTTGTTTTGTACTGTAGCCAAGCTGAGGCCACAAATTGAGTGATGGATCAATACATTATCTGAATATAATAGAGAGATATATGGTTCATGTTTCACCAGTTGAAACCCGGAAAGAACCACAGGCCATGCATCGCAAACGAAGCCCAGCAGTACGCTTGTTTATACTGCGCTCCTAGTTCACCGCGTCTCATCTTCCCGACAGTGATACCCAAGGCTTGGGCTAAGTCCACTGCTTGGTTACTGCCTTTCGTTGTGCTTCTCATATACTTCACTTCTTCGTAGAAGGCTGCGCTAAATGCACGACCTGCAGAGCTTTTGATGGGCCACTGACATCCTAAAACTGAAGTGGCCCCATTGTGAAGCAGAGCTGGGATAATCCCCAGAGGTTCATCTCCAGGAGACAAGTCTTGAGCGGCTGATTCGCAGGCAATGATTGTAAAGTGCACGCCTCCTTGCGGCATAGTGGTATTGAACAAGTCAACAACGGAAAGCGCATCTCTTCCTAGAAGCGGGGTTTCGGCATTTTTATTATCGAAAATATCCTCTCCATTGCTCAAAATGAGTGACGATTGAAGAACATCATCTTTGCAATAACTAGCATGGCCGTGATAGTGCAACCATGTGGCCGTGGAGGCCGTCTCAACAAAACGGGATTTTGTCACTTCGGGTCCGAGTAAGACATTGCCTGGTAGAACCGTGGAAAGCGTTTCAATGTGACTGAATATAAGATTGCGCTCGTCGAAATGAAGAGGCTCTTCGTACACTGCGAAAAAGGCTGTAGTTTCTTCCGGAACCCGATCTTCGCAATTCCTTCCGGAGGCGCTACGGTCCAAACACTGGCTCATGACCGCCGCGCTTGATGCGTAAACTACCAGATTGCGCTCAACTAAAGGTCTTTTTTCGATAAATAAGGCGTGTAGCGGTACGTTATTCAGTTGTCCTGATGGTGAGAGCACTAAAAGATCACCTTCGTCTGAGTAATCTGTCAGCCAATCGACAAGAGCATTCATCTCCTGGAGCAGACGATTGCCTGTCTTCTTGTTTAGAGGATGTTCAGCCATATCAGGATATGTGAAGGCTTTAGAAATCCATGCTTGTACCCGAGTAACAGATATAGCCAACTGCTTCGTCCGGGTCGTACCGTCTAATGTCCGGACAAAGCATATTATCTGCGGGTTCTCCTTTGTTTTCGATGACGGAACATACCAATCGACAAACTTTACTCTTTCTGGAGAAAGGTTTGTTCTAGCAAGCGCCATTTCAAGACACTCTGGGTCTATTTCCAGATTCAGCGTCGTATTTCTGATTCGTGCAATCTCAGCTAGTGAAGGATACTCTTGAACACGTTTTCTGATCGAAATAAGTTCCCGCGCTACGAGAATGTGATTTACTCCAGGCTGGTTTAGGGCGTCTAAATGCATTTGTTCTGCCTTCAAAAGGTCACAGGCTATTTGATCGCTATTGATTCTCTGCAATAACTTTTGCGGAACCAATAGTTTTGCGCCGAGAGAGTCTGAGAATGCCCTGGACTTTCCTTTTTGTAGCCATGTCCAAGCTTCAGCTGAGTCGTTGAGACGTAAAGATATGCGGACTCCTAGATTGTATATCTTGAGGCTTGAATCTTTGGCCACTAGAAGTCTTTTGTTCATCAAGGATGCCAGACCTTCAATGGGTATGACGCTCCGCCTCATATCGTCGCATATTGTTTCTGTTTTTCGCAGTTCATCCATGAATCCACTGAGTAAATCACGCTCTAAATATTCTGAGACCGTCGATAGTACGTCTGAAAGGAGACTGCCAAGAGCTAGAGTGTTGCCAATGATCAACTCAGAGCTGCTGGTTTGTCGCCATTGCTGAAGCGATTTATTTGCCAGGTCCAGCGCGGACCATAGCTGTGTTGTGGCCTGGAGTCGTTCTTCTGCAGTAACAGTTTTATTTTCGCCCAGTATTGCCCGGTAACAAAGCCATGCCTGGAGAGAAGCCCTAGAGTACGCCTGCGCTTTAATCATCGGAGGCACAAATGACAGTTTATCAAGATCATTGAGATAATCCGTCGATAGTTTGGAGCTCTCCAAGAAATTCTCTTGGCGCATTAGCATGCTGACTTCAAGGTCCACGAGTTCGCTTCGTTTCAGGACATCTGTCTGACTTGGTAAAAGGTTCTTCACTCTATCAATCCATGGATTTTCGACTGGCGTGGTCTTTAGTTCCGGTTCATCGAATGCTCGCAAATTCTCCCATTTACCAACCAGTATACACTTTTGAACTTCTCCATCAGTATAGCCATTTTCAGCGTCGTTTTCTATCCACTCTTTTAGAATATCCATAGCTGATGATAGCCACTTGATGTCTTCGGCGGATTTTCTTGGGTACTGCTCAGAGATAGAGAGATGACGAAGCCCCAAGATTAAAGCAGCGTCTGAGCAAGCTTTGTAAGATTGTCCAGACTTTGCAATCTCTAGACTCTCTTCTGCGGCCTTAAGAGCTTCCATATTGTTTCCAAAACTTCCATATATCATTGACATGGTGGTTGCTAGGAGCGCGTGGCTCTTTGGATCAACATCTTCAGAAAGTTTTATGTATTGAGGTTCCAGGGCGTTGAGCGCAAACCCATATTCCGATGCATTCAAATTAGCTGAGCCTGCTGCGCGCATTAGAGCAGCATTCTGCATCATTTCACTGCCCATTTCATCGGCCAACTGCTGCTGAAGTTCGATCGCATACTTGACTTGCTCTACATAGGCATCAACTGGCTCCGAGAGAGCGGTTGTGAGGCATAACATCATCTGACCATAGTGATTGACTTCAAAGTACCGTTCAACGAGACTACTTATTTGGACGAATTTTTCTTCGGCCGAAAAGGTGTGACCAGAGGAAATGCGAGTAAGTTCTAAGTCAATGTTGCCGAAAGTATGGGAAACTTTGTTGAATAGTTCTTGTGCTTCTTTAAACGTGTCTTCAGCCTTTGAGAGAACCGTATCGTCAGAAGATTGGAGCTGAAGTTTAAAAATCTCAGCCAAAGTGAGAGCCCTCTCTGTATCCCACTTATCGCCGTCCAGAGCATCTACAAAACTTTGAAGCCGCTGTATTGCTTCCTCTGGGATTGTAATAAGCTGTATTTCGAAGTAAAGTAGAGAGGCAGCCTCTTGTAAACGACTCATAGCCTGCAAGGCTTGCCGTAAAGAAGAAATAGTCGTTAAAGCAGCAGCTTTAGTGGCCGACTCATCAAGCAGACCATGAACGGCAGCAGCTACCATTATTTTCCAATAAAAAGACATCATTAATACCTTGAACATCAAATCAGATTTAATTATTGTATGTGAAAATAAAAATTAACTCACCCTGTATTCTGAAATGTGTGACGTGCTCCCGCCCAACACTTCTATTTCTGGCCCTTGGGTGCTAGAAATCAGTGGGCTTCTATCTTCAGTTTCTCCATGACTTTCAATGACTGTATCAAGTATGACGGGCTTATCTTAAATGTTACAATCAGCACTAGTCATCTAGATTGTGCTCCGAAACGATCATACCAAGATTCCAAGCACTACCAAACCGCCGCGCAATCTCGAGCGCAGTCTTGACCTTTGAAAATCTCACGACTCGTAATGTGAGGGCACGCAGAAGCTCAAAAGCAACAACGTCTTCATCATGATTGGAAAATGCGAAACTTTCGCTCTCGATTTCTGCAGAAGATGGTCCTGGAACATTATTGCAGATATCGGCTGCCAACCGATATTGTCCCTGAGTGAGGTATAATTGGATGGCTTCAATTGCTACGCCCCTCGCGTATTTAACATCTTGCGGCAGCTGTTCAATAAGTAGCGTTGCTTCAGCAAAGTGCCCTACGGAGCGGTAGGCCCTGATTTTGTACTTAATGTCCTCAAGTGACGATTTAGCAGGCTCTTTCGGATGGGTTTCCATTTGCTAATTAGTTAAAGACATGAATTCTGCCTGTGTGCTGAGCGAAATAAATGACTGCTTTACTCAGACTGGGTCCGAATTGTGGCGCTGGGAGAGGTTGTAGGTGGAGAAATCCTGAGCTCTTTGGGGTTTTAGATTCATATATTAACTACATGTACTCAAATCTCTAGTATAGAGCCTTGCAGTAGCACCAAATACATTGTTACATACCTACATGAATGGACTTATGCAAGGCTGTGGTCATGCGCTGGAATGCGTCGGATTTTGTCGCAGGTGTGGCGGGG